TTACATATCATAGCCTGATTATTATTTAATAGTTCATCATCTTGAAATCATAATGACCATTTATATTAAGCCGCTATATTAGATGATTGACAAGATCTTTATTTAGTATTAGTTGATGGAAAAAGAAAATACATTACCAAAGTATTTTATTAAATTACATCTTAAAAGGTTGCTTAAAAACAAGAGTAATTGAATAGTTAAAATTTTTATAAAATACAACATTATTTATTGTAAAAATAACTTATCTGTTTATTTGATGTTATGAAAAGGGGAATAAAAATGAAATTAAATGGTCTTTCAGGTTCAGTTTATTCAGTTTGTTTCTTTTCTGATGATGGTAGTTATTTTACACAATTTTTAAGCTTTTAATATTACTATTATTCTAATTCCACTATAAGTTTTTTAATCATAAAGGCTAAAAACTTGAAAACGGAATTTCAAAGTCAACTAGTATAGATATCTATAGCTTAATTAAATTAATAGGAAGGTTAATTTGGAAAACTATAGAGATTCAACGAATTCCTAAAGATATTTGTGAGATATATTGAATAATTTTTGCAAAAATTATGAATAATTTCAGCGTTCCCTTAATTCTGTATCTCATTTTTCTCTTTTGCTGCTTGTTTTCAAAATATTGATTTTTTGAGCAATTACAATCATTTGTTAAAATCATTATTTAATTGATCTGATTTATATGTATATGAATATATAAATCATTATAATTTTAACTTGGATATATATTCGATAGTATAACGATGTTTTGGTTACCTATTTTTGAAGATTTCCTTACGAATGGTTGCTATACAGTCTCCTTTTGATTATGAGGCCTTAAAAATACAAATCTGCAGGATATTTTGGAAGGATTCTTCAAGAGTTAAGTTTTGAAATTGTAAACAGGTCTGTCTTTGCTAATCGAGTTTTTCATACAAAAAGGATGAAGACTATATCAAATTTTCTTAATTGAGAAGGATATATAATAATAAAAATTGGTATTTGAAGCGTTTTTTTAAAATAAAATTAGCTAAGGAGTCTATTCAATGTTACTTTAGATATTTTGATTGTTGATTGTTGCATTACTATTTTGCCTATAGTCAATATTTCTTCTAAAACTTTCTTACTATAAGAATTTTCTTTTTCTGTTAATATGCTCCATAAACATCAACTAATCCTCTTAAATCAATTAGATTTAGCCTTTCTGCTCTCACTATATTAGAAATTAATTACTTCATATTACTATTTAATGAGTTACCTAAGCCAAAGCATCCCCTCAATCAATAGTAAATTCTCTACTAATTTCTTAATTGTATAAATAAGCTTTTAATCCGGAAATAGTTTGTAGCTACCAACAAAAAGATTAAATTTAAGATTTGAACACATTAAAATGATTGAATTTTGAATTCTGATTGCACAACCTATGAAGTTTTTGACCATCAAAAAATTTCATTTCATATATTCTTGTGTTTCATCCTTCCTGTTACCCTTATCTTAGGGCTTACTATGATTAATGCCCCCAGCATCAAGTGTTTAGCTCATTTTATTCAAAATTATACCTAATCTAATTTTCCTTAAATTTAAAAATCATTTTTCATGTATTTAGCATCCAATATATTTTTCTAAAATAGGACTTACTTTTTGATTTTCCTCTTTTAGTTTATATTGTATCGAATACTTTAAATTAGATGAAAGTACCTCATTTATTGATTAATCATAATTTGAACATCCTCTAAAGTGAAACTTAAATTTTATTTTGTAAAGGGTACAGGAGTCTTAATAATTAATATCACAAATATTAATACAAAAATTTAGCTAAAATTTGCTGAATCTCTAAGCTGATATTATACTTCAACGTTGTCAGTATGCCTTAAAAAATTTTATAGAATAGAATAATTATTTTGAAGGATTTATTTCGACCTATCAACTTTCAGAATTTCCTCCTTAAATTCAAAGAATTTATATAGATTACATTTTATATATTTAAAATAAATATCATAAATTAGACAATCTCATAGAGAAGAAAGAATTTGAATAAAGATCTTAGATCAGAATAAATTTTTATGATCCTCGTTATTTAGCATATATTATTTAGTAACAAATTTCATTAAGGTTAATCCATTTTAACAATAATAGGTGAGGATTAAAAAATGCCATATATAGTAATTTAAAATTTTTTATTTTTAAACTTAATTTCTTTATCGATATTGCGTGAATTTTGCTAATAAAAACATCGAATTTATGTTTTTTTGGAAATACCTAATCAAACAAAAAAGATACATTCTCATTTATGCAATAAGTGAATAGAAAAAATTACAAAATAATTATAATACGTTTAAGATTACATTCCCTTCAACTTAATTATTTCCCAAGGCAATTACTTTTTTTTTAATTTTATTCCTCAAATTATGATAACTACTTATAGAAACTGACTTAAAATTTGGAAATTGATCTAAAAAAATTAATATGCAAATTTAATTTGTTTGAATTTGAGTATTTTTATTCTACTTTAATTTAATGCTTCTTTTGAATTGATGCAAATACTTAGATTTATTAATTGTAAGAAGATTTTTGAATTTTACCCATTTTTTCACTTCAATCACAAATTTGTTTTGATCCTAAGAATTCAAAATATTGAAATAAGGAACTCAGCTTGTAATAGATATAGAATTTAAACAAATGTTATAAAAAAGGTGATATACTTGAATTGATCAAGCTTTTTCTTTTGGACAGTAATTTTGGCTATTTCATAAATAGAGCTATTATTAATTATAATAAAATGAACTCATTTTATTCAAATTCAAACTCAGTTTCATCATGAAATTAGAAAATATGATATATGTGGTTTCTAATCCTTAACGAACTTTTACACTTCATAAGTAGTTAAAAATTAGAAATAGTAACAAAAATCATCCTCTGATGGAGGAAGTAGATTCAAATTTAATGCATAAATTAATATTGTAACCATTTATTCAACTATAAGCTTAAATTGAACTTTAAATTTTTAAATCAATTTCCTTTTATATTTTAATTTAATTTTAATTAAACTACAATTATTAGTACATTAATTTCTAATTATATATAAAAATGATTGTTTAAATTATCACCATACTTCATTTGCTTAATTGATGTAGATCAATAGCAATTTTTATGATTTATGCAAAGCATTCTCAATCAGTTTTTAATTTGAAAAACTATTTTCTTATCACCACTAATTTTAATACGATTATTATTATTATCAGAAAAATAAATTTATAGCAGCGTCGTTACGATGTCTGATAACAAATAGCTTAAATTGTATTTGAAGTTCAATATTTGTTATTAGCCACAAAAGAATTAAAAATTAAAATAAATATAGAAATAATATTTAAAATAAATATGGGATAGTCAGGGTATTAGCTGAAAAAATGTTAATAAGAAGATCATAATGAGTAGATCGAAACCATTTGTTATAACTAGTAGTGCACAGACTTCAGATTGAATTGCTCTAAATGTGAGGAAAGATTCCATCAAGATCATTATAATGATGTTTTAAGAATCAACAGCTTGGTTGGATTCATAAAAGATAAAAATACAGAATGTTAAAATTTAATTAGTGATCTTAAAACTTTTGTGGAGATCATGAATTAATCATTTTCTTAATTAATAAGTGGAATTTGATTAAAATATTTAATAAGAGAGGAAGTAGTAAAAAATTCCACCTTGTAATAAATAAATGATTATTTGAAATCTGCGGTTGGTTTTATTGAATACAAATACTCAATTAAAAATGTTGTTTCCCAATTAACTCAGAAATTAAACTAATGAATTTAATACTTTATATGAAAAATTATAATTAAATACATTTAACTATTATTAGATTGATTTTATTTCTGAAGGAGAGTCACTTAAACTATAGCGTTAAGGTAATATATTATTATAATCCTTGGGTCGTTAATTATAAGTAAAAAGTTTTATATGATGTAGTATAGCTGAGTAAAAGAAATATGTAGAAGCCATTCAAATAAATGATTTTTCCTTAAAATACAATCCTAAAAACGTGAATACTTTTTATAATAAAGTGTGAAAAATATAGATATTTATTGCATATTGTTTATGAATATATTTTTTTAGATTATGTAGAGAATTTAAAAAATATCAGGATGCAATCATTTGGTACGATAAAGCTATAGCTAATTATCCTTAACAAAAATATATCTTAAATGGAAGAGGTTGATTGAATCTTAATGATATAATAGGTGTATGTTTATATTGGCTAAAGAAATTTGAGGAAGCTATGATCTGGTTTGAAAAAGTAATCGCCATTGATCCAAAGGACGCTTTTTCTATCGCAAATAAAGGTAAATTGAAATTTTTGTATAAGGCTTATGTTTATTGTCTTTAAATGAATTTGAGAATGCAAACATTTGGTTTGATAAAGCGCTAGCTATCAACCCTTAAATAAGTTTAGCCTTAAGAAGTAAAGGTTGGTTAAATTATAATTATATAGGTGAATGTTTAATTCAATTCAAACAATACAAAAATGCAATCACTTGGTTGGACAAAGCGTTAGCAATAAAGGATAACGATGATTAGGCTTTAAATTACAAAGGTTAGTTGAATCTTAATTATATAAACAGGTTGTTGTTTAATTAAATTAAAATAATACGAGGATGCAATTACTTGGTTGGACAAAGCTTTAGCTATTAATCCTAATGAAGCTGCTTTCTTAAGTAATAAAGGTAGATTTAATGACAATTAAATAATAGGTGAATGTTTAATTAAATTAAATCAATATGAGGCTGCCATTACTTTTTTCGAAAAAGCACTCACTATTGATCAAAATAGTGTTTCTTCATTAAATTACAAAGGTAGTTTGAATCTTAAATATATAAACAGGTGAATGTTTAATTAAATTACAAAAGTATAAGGATGCAATAAATTGTTTGGACAAAGCTTTAGCTATAGATCCTTAATATGTTTCTTCATTATCTAATAAAGGTAATTGAATCTCAAACACATAATAGGTGTAACTTTAATGTTTTTAAATAAATATCGTGATGCAATCCCTTGTTTCAACAATGCGCTCGCTATGGATTGTATGGATATATCATGCCTAAAAAACAAAGGTAATTTGAGTTCTTTTGTACCAATAGGTTTATGTTTAATTAAATTAAATAAATTTGATGAGGCAATAAATTGGTTTGACAAAGCTTTAGCTATTAATCCTTCAGATGTTTCTTCATTAAATAACAAAGGTAGTTGAATCTTAAATATATAAACAAGTGAATGTTTAAGATTATTAAATAAATATGAGGACGCAATCGCTTGGTTCGATAAAGCATTAGTTATTGATTCTAAGGAGATAATTTCTGTGCACAATAAAGGTAGATTTAATCCTAATTATATAGGATTATGTTTAATTAAATAAAATTTTTTAGAGGATGCAATTACTTTTTTCAACAAAGGACTAGCTATTGACCCTAAGAATGCTTCTTCAATTAATAATAAAGGTTTGAATCTTAATAATAAATCTAGGTGTATGTTTAATGAAATTAAATTTTTATGAGAATGCTATCACATTTTTGATAAAGTATTAGTAATTGACCCTAAGAATATGACTTCCATAAATAATAAAGGTTGAATTCAAAATAGAAGCTTAGGTGTGTGTTTAATTAAATTAAAACAATATCATAATGCATTGACAAATAATATGAATAGGCTTATGTCTAATTAAAAAAAATAAATATGAGGATGCGATCACTTGGTTTGACAAAGCTTTAGCTATTAACCCTGATGATGTTTCTTCATTAAATAATAAAGGTAGAGATTCAAATATCACAATATATTTAGGGGATTGTTAATATTAATGATCAAAGATAATGCAACTTTATAATTTTCAGATGAAGCCCACTTGATCAATCAATAAAATGTGTTTTAGCTGTAATCAAAAGGTATCTTATTATTGTTAACTATAGGAGATTGCTTAAGAGAATAATAGCATTATAAGCAAGCTCGGTTTTGTTATGAGATATCATTAAAAATTAATCCAAATGATGAACATTAAAATAATAAAAGGGAATTTTTGATTAATTAAATTAGTATTTTGTGAGCAGAAATGGAATCAATGAGTATCAAAAATTCAAAAAATCATATTATTATTATTTTCTTATATTTAATAATATTATTAAATACATCCTTTATATATTTAGAGTAAATAATATCTAAAAGTAGAAAAATCTCCAAATTAAATCCTTAAGAAGAGATTGATTAATTACCCTATAATATAGAAGTCGAAATTGCTTTTCATATATATAGATACTTCATTGATAAGTGCGTTCAACCTTCGAATCAACTTATGAACCTTCTCTTTTGATAAATTTGTTTTTATTAACTTTTGTCCAAATTTTTTGATTTGCATTCAAAAGTGACTTAATTAATCGACTTCTAAAACTCCTTAGCTATTGTACCCATACTTCTTCCTTCTTGCTTATACAGCTGAATCACATAATAGTAGCTTTTTGTAAAAGTGCTGAACATGTAAATTGAGACCTTTTTGAATGGGTAATCACAATAAGACCTCCAAAGCATAGTAATAGACACCTAACTAAAAGGATTCATTTATAAAAACACAGACAAGAAAAATAAACGTGATTTTTATAACAAGTCCATAACTCTAATTTTTATTACCCTTTTTCAAAATAGATAGAAAATGTCATTAAAAAATGAAAAAATAAATATAACATCATAACCTCTTGTGTTATTGATACTTGAATATTTGTAATTATCATTTTAATTGTCCCAAATACTATTAAAAACATAAAAAAGATCATATTAATTGATAATGCATTTTTTTCCTGTATAATTGATTGCAAATTCACTTGAAATTAAAGATTAAAAATCAGGTATTACCAAATCAGTTACCTTTTTACTTTTAACTTACAAGAAATATATTTAAGTAGATTATTCAGATCTAAGCCTTTAATTAATTCATATTACTTCAGAATCCCCAGAAAATTAAATTTTAATTTCTCTATGAATCATTGTATATATTTTATAATAATTTAAGTAATATACCAACTTTTAATTAATTATTTATTATTAGCTTTCTTAATCCCATACTTAGAGAAATAATTAAATCGCTTAAATCTAATAAATCATGGCAACATATTTTTCATTGCTTGAAATTTATACAGCCGCCAACTACAAAACATTTTTATTCCTATGTATTAATAGGAGCTACTAATACTTTTCCTTGAAGAAAAAACTTTATATCATCATAGCTGTCGCTTTTTTTTCCTATCATTTATTTCTAATTTATTGTCTGAAATAGTTTGTAATTGAAAGTTTAAAATAATTGCTTCAGACACTACCAGAAAAATAAATTTTAAAATTTTTGCTTTTATCTTTCTAATATTATTTTAATAAATAACGAAAAATGAAGTTTTTCAATATGATACTAAGTAGATATTTGATTGATATCGATAAATTCTTATCATCAAACATCCCATAATTTCAAACCTAACCAATACATTTACCCATTTTTACTAAATTCTTTAAAACTCTTCTGAAAAACAATAAAGTTTTAGTTTGGATCCTGCAGCCTTATGTGAATCTCAAAAAACTCTCTTTATTCTAATCTTTAGTAAATTACGGCAACTAATTGCAAAGTGCCTAAATTCATTTTCAACTTGATGAATCAAAGATTTTGAATAGAAAAACTAATAGCTATTTATTTAATTTGAAACAATAGTAAAGGTTAAAGGATAAACTAATTAAAAAATATTCTGATCATTAATTTGAATTTAATGTTATTAACTCAAATCAATACCACTTTTTAGCCAAAAGATTTTGCCATTCCATTCGAAGGATTTAGCCAAGAATCGTTAAATTTTTCATCTAATTCAATCCATTAACCAAATTTTCTGCCCTACTCATCATAGCAACCACCTCCACTTATGTTAATTTAAATATAATTACATCACATCATTTTAATAGGTAATATCCATCTTCCTTATTTGAATCCATTAGAATAAATGCCTGAATATGTGACTACACAATAGCTTTAAAAATTAACAAATTGATTAAACTTATTAAAATTTTCATGTAAATCAATCCAATATCCATTCTTTTTTCCTTCTTAATTGTAATCACCACCTCCACTTAATTATATTATCTATCTTTACATCACTTAATCTTCATTTAAAATATTCCATCTTCCTGATTTTATATTCACCAGTAAAGTTACTCAACAAGCTCTTACAACCTAGAAAAAAATAAAAATACTTATTATAATTTTCAGCCAACTCAATCCATTTGCCAATCTTAATTTTATCTTGATTATATAAACCTCCTCCTCTGAAATAATTAATTATCTTACATAACTTTCTCATCATATATAGTATCCCATTTTCCTACTTTCAATCCTTTATAATATCCGCCAATAAATTTAACCTACATCCAACTTTTAAATTATTATGCTTATCATAGTACTTCCAGAATTATTCATATATATCAATCCAATACCCTTTATTCTTCCTCTTTTTATCATATAAACCCCCTCCACTAATGATATAGTACCAAACTTACATTTCTGTAAACTAATTGGTTTAATTCCATCTATACATTGTTTACCATTGCCAAATTTTCCCTCCATCTTAATAAAGTATCTGATAATTTTGTTTCTGGATCATATTAAAAGGTAATAATAGAATATTTTTATTTAAGATTATTAGAAAATGGCTCAGTTATAATTGATGGCAGTGAAGATCATTCAATAAAATATAGATTATAGATTTGAAAATAATCTTTTGGAATATATATTACTGTTATAGTTTATCATTAAATGAATCAGAGTATTTTTAGTTTTAATGATTATAAATAATCGTTTGGACAACAAAATAAAATGATTAATGGGAATTTAAATAACCTATTATCGCAAATTTTGATATGAATTCAAAAAAATATTTTAATCAATATACTTAATCAATTATGGAAGCAAGTAGCAGAAAGATAATTCATTTAGAATTTTGGCAATTAGAATGGATACGACTTTAAGAACAATTTAATTAATAAATCAAAATAATAATTAATAATTAAAGGGTTTGATTAATAATTTTTTTTTAATTTCCAAATGTCCAGAAAAAGATACAGTTCAGGTTCTAAGAGGGTTTGGGTTTGGGGTTGGGTTTGGGTTTGGGGTTGGGGTTGGGTT